ACACTTCATGCCTCAGACCGCTCGGTTAGTGTGGCAGGCCGAAATGATGTCAAGAGCTTAAAATATTGGTACATATGGGTAAAAAAGTGAATTTGTCCCTGTACTAAATTATTCCCCAGAGAATAGGCCCCTGTCAAGTGTTTGATACAAGAGAACCCTGTGAAGCAGAGACAAATTTCTTGCAACTTCCGGGAATTAAACCGCACCCGTCAAGTCTGCATCTCGTCGTTATACCGACTGAGCTATCCCGGAATCTACATCCTCGTATTCTACGTAGGAGTGCATTAAGGTCCCTTGATTTGAAACTAGTATTACCGCCCCAGCGATACATTCAAGTACAGCAATGACAGAGGGACCGATGGAACACGCCCTGATATATTCCAATTTAAATTAATTTGGGCTGTTTTAAACGCACAGATGTTCTATGCATTGCGTGTCTCTCGCTGTCCACTCATACTGGGGCCAAGTTCAGGGATTACTTTATCGGCACGGTTTTGTAAGGGTTTTTTCATTCCAACACGATTCTACAAGATTGTAATCATGCTTTACAAGGGCAAGCCATGCGATTCGTCAACAATAACAGAAAGGAAGGAAAAAAGAAATAAAAACGACATATCTCAAAAGCACGACTGACATCAAGGTCTGTGTTATAAAGTTGAAACTTGAACAGTATCACCACTCCACTGAGACAGGGTCCGGGAACCGGTTGCCATACAGAGCACTACAGCACTTTAACGAAAGGCAAACAAATTATTACGAAACTAGTGAAAGAATAACAAATCATGGAGTTATGTTTACTTCAGTTGGTGTTTTCTACTCTTAAATATACGATAAATGACAGATGGAATAATATATCGAAGAAGGCAGGGTACCTAACTTTGAAATAATAATAATAAAATCTAATTAACACTATAGAGAAGTGAAACGATGGGATGGGTAGGGGATGTAGCACGAATGGGGGAGAAGAGGAATGCATGTATGATCCTGGAGGGAAAGCCAGAAGGAAAGAAACCACTGGGAAGACCAAGTCGTAGGTGGGTGGACAATATTAAAACGGATCTTAGAGATATGGGATAGGATGGTAAGGATTGGATTGATTTGGCTCATGATAGGGACAAGTGGAAGGCTGTTTTGGACACA